ACTGGCTGTGCTGGTTTGGGCCTCATTGCCAGCTGCAGTCATGTCCTCATCTCATATATAAAACACCTGTGATTCGCAAATACTTGCTAAGGAACTCGCATTCACATAAAGTAGCCTTGTTGAAAAGTTTGGATGAGTAAGGGCAAATCGCACAAGATGCAGTACTTTCAGTGACCTGTAATAGGCAGTATCATGTCTTTTGTAGCAGAAATAAACTGCTGCAGAAAAAGTAATGTGTAACTGCAACACTCATTTCAAATGTAGTGGAGTAAAGAGTACAGATACTCATTCAATAATGTAGTGAAGTAGAGAGTAAAAGTTGCTAATATCTTTGATACTCAGTACAACTACAAAGTATCGAAAAAGATACTCAAGTACAGTAACTAATTACATTTACTCCAATACTTTACACCTCTGCAACCTAATGTAATTATATATTTTAAAAAATCAATTTACAAATCTATAAATGCACATTATCAAAAATTACTTTGTTAATTATTGTAAGATTTGTATTTTTATTTTTTATTGATTTTTTTTTGTGTGTTTCTGACAAAAGCCCCTTATGCTCATTGAGGCTGAATTTATTTGATAAAAATGCAGTAAAATCAGTATTATTGTGAAATATTCCTACAATTTAAAATATATTTCTGTTGTTAATAATAATAATAATAGTAATAATAATATCTGATAATATATATTAAAATGTAGTTTATTCCTGTGATGTGAAGCTGAATTTTCAGCATCATTACTCCAGTCTTCAGTGTCACATGATCCTTCAGAAATCATTCTAATATGCTGATTTGCTGCTCAAGAAACATTTATTGTTATCAATGTTATAAACAGTTGTGCTGCTTCATATTTTTTTAGAAACCACGATACATGTTTTCCCCCCAGGATTTTTTGATGAATAGAAAGTTCAGCATTTATTTGAAATAGACATGTTTTGTAACAGTTATACATCTTTACTGTCACTTTTAATCAATTTAGTGCACCTGTGCTTGCTTAAGTATTAACTTGATTCTTTCAAAATAAAAAAAACATAACAATATAGTGTACATGTGCTCTTTAAAAGATAATCTTCTGCGATCCATTTAGTCCAAGTTAGTAGATGATTATCTAATTCTCAAAATAGATGTAAACAATTAAATACCTAATAATAATAACTATTAATATAATTTGTGATAATGAAGTAAAGGGGAATTACCAAAATGTAAATTAACTAGCCATACTTCATTCTGTTTCATTCATGTAGGTCACCATCCTGTTCTCCCACCATTGTTTTCTTGGCCGGAGCACTTAACCTCATGATCCACAGGGACTTTTGCTACTGTTAGCATACTGTAAATCACTTCAGATGGGAAAAAAGTGACTTCTTAAAGCCGATTAAGTAAATGGACAGTAAGTGTAAATCTCATTGGGCTTTTACAGAATTGGACTAATTGACCAGTTCAACACAGACCAGGATATATTTGTGTTCCTGCTGTCCACCAGAGCCAGAGGACTGGGCATTAACCTGACTTCAGCCAATGTAGTCCTTCATGATATTGACTGCAACCCTTACAATGACAAACAGGTGGAGGGACGCTGCCACCGGGTGGGACAAACCAGGTAAGAGACACTGGACATGTGTGTCTCACAGTAGGCTTTCCTTTTGTTTCACTAGAGTCTGTCCTAATTCTTTTATATCTGAATGCATTTGTCCCATGTAAGGACGGTGAAGGTGATCAAGCTGATAAGTAAGGACTCCATAGAAGATGCCATGCTCCGCAATGGAGAAAGGAAACTCAAACTAGAGCAGGACATGACCGCAACTCAGGAGGGTGAGAACACTTTAATAAAGTTCACAGGGATTTTTTTATTTTTTGAAAAATGAATACAAATATGCTTGGTTCTTCCAGGTGAAGAGGACACATTACCTGATGATGCGACGTCGCTGCTCAAAGTTTCTCTAGGACTCTGAAAGCTGGCTCAGGCACAAAGCGTACTGTGATATGACACTTGACTGAATCTGAAAGAAAAAAAAAATTGCACGCTTAAGTTTGATTTTTCTATGCTGCTCGTAAAAACGTGAGGTTCAAAGGAGCAGATATGTTTACATTTCTACTGTTCTTGGCAAAAATACTGTGATACTGTGGTGTTTGCTTGATTAAAAAAGTGAACGTTGAAGGAATTTTTGATTATTTGCTCATTTCCAGAGTTGGTCTTGATTTTGTGGTTTTGATCTGGATCTGTGTCTCAGCTTAGAATCTCAGATAAGTCAACAGTCAATTTCCAGCAACTGTACAGTGTGACCTAGTGCTTGAAATAAATACTCCAATAAATTCAGCATTTTCTCTATTTCAGTTTATTAAAACAGAAAGCACGGTTCTTGGGCTGACAGTCGCATCCAAACACTGAATCTTGAAAAAGTTATTCATAGTTATTCACCTATACTCTTAAAAATAAAGGTTCCTTTTTAGCATTCATGGTTCCATAAAGAACATTCATGGAATCTTTATAGTGGAAAAAGTATTCTCAGACTACAGACTACAAAAAATGATTATTTTAAGAACTGTTCACTGAAAGGTTCTTTGGGAACCCCAAATGGTTCTTCTATGGCATTGCTGTGAAACCCACTCTTGATTTTTAAGATATTTTATAATATGATAATGTTCTTATGGGTCCCATTATGGGTCAATGACTCAGAAAAGCACAATTACTTAAAACAGTTAATAAATAAACACACTGTGAAACATACCAGCGCATGTGTGACGTTGTTGTAGGCTATATTAGGCGAAATATGGTCAAACTTAGAAAAAAGATGTCATAAATGCATACTAAATCAAGATAGAGCCAGCGTTATAAACAATACAAATTAAAATAATATTTAGAATTGTCTAATCAGAAAGTAAGTTATGGTAACCTTTTAAGAGGCACGAAAGTGCGTGGACGAATAACAAGGTGCGTTTGCGCTGCGTGTGTTTGAACATTGGCGCGATCTGACTTCACATCCCTCTCTGAAATACTCTAATCAATCCCATACATAAATCCACGAGAAAGGTCAGTATCATTAATTGCATTTGTATGTTCTTTCTTAATTTATAATGTTGCCGATTTATTCACAACAGTGTCGTTAGTTTGAGACCAATACAAAAAGTATTTTAAAGCGCGACTATCAACAGTCGTTCTCCAGTAATGAAGAGTTTGTGGACCGTGTTTTATGTCTGTAACAGATCATTTAGACAGTAGGAGAACTGCTAAACGGTGTTTTCTGTGTGTAGTGTCAGCCTCTAGATTTGTTGTTGTCGACGCGATATGTGTCACGCCACATATATGGGCTCATAGAGACTAACAAAACGAAAACAGCACGAAGAAGATCTGAGAAAGCCTCCGCTGAAAGCTTTAAAATATGTGGACATCTCGACATATAGCTTATATACAGTAAATATGATTTGAGTTGTGTCAGATTCGCCTTATGTAGGCTACTTGCGTTCTGCAGGTTGCTAGGGCGATGCTAAGCTGTTGCTAAGGTGTGCGCGCTAATGTGCTGTGAGTGGTTGCGGAATCAACTCCTACGGTGTTCTAGGTGGTTGCTAGGGCGTTGCTAAGGATATTTAGCCTGTTCCTAGGGTGTTGCTAGGTAGAGGCGCTAAGTAGGGTTGTGTTTGTCTTTGAATAACGTTATGTGCTCTTGTTGACCCCTAATCTTTTTATCTCCTTTTTAAAGAAATGAATCACTGTGAGCTTGAAGAAGTGACGCAACATATTAACAACAAAATTTCCATGATTAAAACACTCCTGGAGCTTCGAGCTGCTGGTATGCTGCAGTTACTACACTGGTTACTAGTGATATACCCAAAATAATTCGCTAGGAAATAAAGTATAGCTCATTAAATTTGCAGTATGCCTGTTCATACCAAGAACGGTAACTATAACAATAATGATATATAGTTTATAAAATTGTTATAAATTGAACAGAATAGCAGAGTCCACACAACAGCTATAATGATAACGGCACAGAGGAACGATACTGTTGAGATCGCTTTCAAAAAGTGTTTTTTTTTCTAGCTGATGAATGATAAATAAATTACATTGACAGCCGGAATCCATCCTGACTTTTTTCTGACTTTGGCAAAGGACAAAACAGAAGCGCATGCTTATAATATAAACAAAACGCTACTGCGCATTAGTGTGGATGCTAATATATTTATATCGTTATTGTTCTTGGTGTGAACAGGCCTTAACTGAACTCACTATGGTGATAAATTAAACCTGTCACAGTAATGTTTTTCGGCAATGAGCCGTCTCTTGATATATAAACAATTTTTTACATTTTTAGCTTAAGTGACATGCATCCAAATAGCTGACATTTACCAGTCAAAGCACAGCATAGGAGAAGCTCTGATTAAACATCACTATTTTTTGACACTCCAAAAAAACAAATATTTTTGGTTGTCAAATTTTTGGTGCATCACTATCTGGTTCACAAATTGACTTGTATTGTATAGTTTTAAATTGTGTTCCTTGGTGGTGGTATGATTTATTACGGTATGTCTCGTGTGATTTTTTTTTTCCTTTAGCAAAAGATCCAGACAAACGGGGGACTCTTCTCAAAATCGAGCAAGAAGTCTCTGCTATCAACGAGCTTCTGGATCGCTTTGAGAGATATGTGGGCGAGCAGAGAGGCTTGCTGAAGCATTTGAAGGTGTAATGTTTTCATTAATATTTATTTTATAGATAATAACTGTAATTGTAACATTAAGTAATGAGAGCTTTTTGGAAATGCTGAATCAATTGAACCAATTGCTTCACAAAATGATTCACTCTTTCGAAGTTTGATATGCTCTGTGAGCCATTGGTTTTGAAGCTACATGAAGCAGTGTTTCAAAAGCACCCTTCACTACAAACACTTTATCAGATATTATCAGAAGCTACATGTTTACTTTGGTTCCCTTATATAAATCTTTTATTGATCTTGTCGACAGGATCTAGAAGGGTTTTTCCGGGAGGACGAACAGGATGCCCTTCACCTCAAGAACAACATCCCTCCGCACATGCCCAAAAGAGGCCAACAAGCATCTCTGCAAGGGTATTTCCTGTTTTTGGGTTTCTTTCCCAACTATACCACAGCGGGATGGTGCCTTATTTAGCTTGCCTCATCATTAAGAAGCACAAAAAGCATGAACCACCTCAACCGGTTTGACTGAAACTGATGAGTTTGGCTTTTTGTGTTGTCTTCAGAGGAGGACAGGTGGCAGTTCAGAGCAGGCAGGCAGATGCGCCACCCGCTCCTCAGGAACAGGGTCCGCCCAGGAAACCTCAGCGTAACCAGATCAAAGAGATGGAGTTCATTACCGTCCCAGAGTTTGACAGCATACCACCGTGAGTCCTTCCACATCTGTCTAAACAAAGTCTGTGAGCAAATATAGTAAAGAACAGTAAACAGTAGCTCTTTTCCAAAACCCAGTGAGCTGCCTACCTAGACAACATTGTAGGCGCGATGCTGTTGCGAAGGCTGTTTCAAAAGGTAGGCTACCATCGGAGATACCGTCTTTTGGCAATCCCAGAATACACTGTGACATGATTATTGTTCAGTAACAAAAACATATGGAAAGACTATTTTTCAGTTTTACCTAATATTTATGTGCTATACATTTTTGTTTATAGCATGCTGTTAGCTTCGTGATATTTTGTTTTTTACACCCAACTTTATAGAGTGCAACAGTGGCAAGTATTTTACTCATTCATTTTTTCCATAGGGATTTTAAAAAGTCCTAAAGAGTTTAAGCCATGACAAGGTGCTTTACAAACTTTTATTTGAAGCAAAAAAAAAGTTTCAGGCAAAAAAAAGGGTACAAGACTGTGTACTTCACGGCTTTAGTGATGGAAATAACTACAATCCCATGAAGCATTGCAAATCACAGTCAAATTGAAAACGATAGTGAAATATAAAACTATTAATTTAAAGTTGTTGATTATATCTATAGAACCAATATGTTGTTGTACTGTTTTTTGATTGGTGGAGATTTCTTTGCAGAATCATGGGTAATGTAGTTTTCACTGTTTAATGCGATTGTTTAAAAAGTATGTTGAAATAATGTGGGCTGATATCTTTAACAAAAGCATAAACCATCGATTAACAACCTCGTAGCTCACAGTAGGTCTGTTTTTAACAATTTATTTAACAAGTTATTGTTAACAATCAATTTCCTTATGGAGAAATTGAATGGGATTTTTACTTCCGGAACTCAGCTGTTGCACTTTATTAAAATCAATGGTCGGGTACAAAGTGCTATTTGAGTGCTGAGTTGCTACAGTACTTATGTAGAATGTCTCAAACTGGTTACTTATGACGATTAATTTTGGTTAGGAATGTAGTTACCAATGTAGGCAGTCGAAAGCAAGAGAGCTCACTAGGTTTTGGAACAGGAATGCCATGATTAACCAATCAGAACCAAGCATCCCAGAGAACAGTTGTAATGAGGTTCTGTTTTAATTCAGCATCTTTCAGATGTTTGATCAAATTCACATGCAGTTTATTCATTTTATCCATTTCTTCATCTTCTCTTGTGCTGTCACAGGTACATGAAAGGCCGTGTGACGTATGACCAGCTGAACGCAGCGGTGCAAAGCATAAACACAGCTGTGACGTCAAAATATAAGATCCTCCATCAGCCAGTCAAAACCCTGAACAATGTGTCCCGCATGCTCCACCAGCGCTTTAAAGACCAAGAAACAAAGGACACCAAGGGTATCATCGTTTTATCTGTCTGTCTCGTCCAGAGCTGCTGGTCAAAGGCTTATTTGACCTCATTTAGCACTGCAGTCCATCATGTATTAACAGTCTTGTCATATCGAGAATTGAGAGTCTACTGTTTGCTCCAGAAAACTATTAACGCCACCAGCGCGTGAACTGGTATAAGTGCTCCGATAACTAAGGTCATTTATCCTGGTCTGGTATTTAATAAGCTCTTATGGGCTGAAAGAGGTCATCCATCAACTCCTTTTGTTTCCTGCAGGTCAGTTTTTCATCGTGGAGCAAGATATCAGAGAGTTTGCCCAGCTGAAAGTGGACAAACGGTTTGTGGGCATGTTGAACATGTTACGCCACTGCCAGCGTCTGAGGGAAGTCCGAGGCGGCGGTCTCACACGCTTCATCCTGCTCTAAGACTCAGAGACGCCCACATCTCCATCACATCGCTTTGAACGGAGTTTTGAAAGGGACTATGCACTAAAAGATACATTTTTGTTTGAGAGCTGTTTGCCGTGGAATGAACTTCAGTGTCCATTTGATTAAAAATAGAAATTATGTCAAATCAGTTGATGTGCATCGACTCAGTCTGAGGCCTAAAACCTGGCAGAGAACTGGATTTATGGGTAAACATAAATTGCACACAGTCAAACATCAAATGCTGAAACCTTTGTGTGCTTGAAAGATGTTGTAATAAATTATATAATGATTTCAGAACTGACATTTGGTATAACTTTGTGTAATTTATTGTTGAACAAAAACTCATTATTTATCACGCTAAACAAACGTCTCTTCAATTAATGTCAACAACAGTCTTAATTTGCTCATAAATCCAGAAGCGTTGTTCTAAAAATCCATTAGAAATTCCCAAGGGCATCCCATGGTATATTAGCATTCCGGGTTGGCCTACAAATTGACATCGTGAATTAACAGTTGGGTCGCTTTATCTGTGATGATGAAATTATAAATTGAGTGCTGTATTGTTTATATTGATGGAAAGTGGAAAATATTGGAGCTTAAATAAAATTGCAGTTTTTGTAACCTCGTCTCAAATGTCAGTGTCATTTCAACAATTTTTGAGACAAAAGAAACGGCTTGAGTTCGAAGTACCCGAGAGACGTGTGAAGATGAATCCGACTCGTCAACTTTACCCTGCATTTCTCACCCAAAACTCAACCAAGCATGAAAAGTTACATATCAACTAGGTTAGGCATTTCTGTTCTTGCTTTGTCATCTTCATTTGTTAGAAAGACATAAAGACTCCATGTAGAGGACGCTGCATTTGCACATACAATGACGAGGGCTTTAAGAGAACTGGTAGGCCAACTGTTACATTACATCATTGTTGGATTGTCCAGTTTTCACAAACATTTTCCGTTTTTGCAGGCGAGAAGCCCTGTGCTTGTTGCAGCCATTTTTATATCAGGAATAGGAGGAACCTTTCAATACGGCTTCCATATCTCTGTCCTTAACTCACCATCACTTGTAAGTACTTGCGTTGTTCGGTTATAAAGTGTCTTAGACTGATTTACTGTCTCTTTTGAGCTGCAAATCGAGGGGTTGGAGGTAGTCAGTATTAATCAAATGCATTGTTGCCACTGTCATCTGATGAGACATCCCCAAAGAATCAATACATATCAGAGCTTATGAGTTGGTGCTAACCTGTGAAACACTGTGGTTCAATAAAAGGAAATCAATGACATAATCAACTGAGACTTGTGCTTACATTGCAAGTTTATTAAAGAGCTGGTGAACAGCACCTGCCAGCAGCGTTATGGCCGCTCTCTTGAGCCCTGGGAGCTGTCCCTCATCTGGTCCTTCATTGTGTCCATGTACTGCATGGGAGGGCTGGCTGGAACCCTGTATGCTGGACATCTGGCAGGAGCGTATGGAAGGTACTGGAAGTGCATCCATACAGCAGACATCCTAGTCAGGTCATAGGCTGATTCTGAAGAATGTTACAGGGATAGTTCACCCAATAATGAAAGATAATATCCAGAAAATAAAAGAAAAATATAGATAATATCAGTGTTTGCTGCTCAAGAAACATTTCTTACGATCAGTGTTGAAAACAGTTGTGCTGCTTAATATTGTTTGGAAAAATGTCAGGATCCTTCGATGAATAGAAAGTTCAAAAGGACATTTGTTATTTATGAAAAGTGTTATTTATTATTTGAAATACATTTTTTATAACATAAATGTCTTTACTGTCATGTTTGATCAATTTAATGTATCTTTATAAAGTATTAATTTCTTTTTTTAAAAATGGTAGCGTAACTAGGTTGATTTTCAGGTGCTTACATGGATCCTTCCATATTTCTGCATTTTCAGAAGCATCTGTGGTATTGAGCATTCTTAGAGTGTGAATCAATAATGATAATAATTAATCAATAACCAAATGGCAGCAATTCAACGAGTAACATGGGCTTTTAATTCCAGGATTGACCTGAAATGATGCTAAGGGCAACAATCAGCCACTGATATTTCTTCAAACCAGTCTAACCTACATTAATGCTCTCCAGGTTCTGTTCTGTTCCTGTAACCCAACTGACACAGCAAAAATGAAAAATGTTAATGTTCTTGCTAGGTGTAATATTTCTTACACGGATAGTTCACCCAAAAATGCTAATTATGTCATCATTTACTCACCCTCATCTTGTTACAAACCTGTATACATTTATTTTTCTTCATTAAAAAAAAGATGTTTAGCAGAATGTTGCTACTGTATTCCAAGCAGTTAAAGTAAATGGTGACCAGGAGCTGGCAAGCTCAAAAAAATGACAAAATGCACCATAAAAGTAGTCCATATACTGTATATGACTTGTGCACTATATTTAATTGTATGGCTTTAAAATACAGCCCCTGGTTACCATTCACTTTTATTGAATGGTAAATAGCAGCATGAACATCCTGCCAAACATCTCTTTTTCATATGGGTTTGGAATGCCATGAGGGAGAGTAAATGATGACAACGTTTTCTTTTTTTTGGTAAACTTGAAATTTGTAGTTTTTAAATTCATGTACAAGGAGCAGCAAATAAGTACAGTGTGTTTTTAACCCTCCATAGGAAGACAACTCTGCTTTTGAACAATGTGGTGGCAATCTGTGGAGCTGTCCTGATGTTGTTGAGTAAAACTGCCCTCTCGTTTGAGATGATCATGGTGGCACGTGTCCTATACGGCATCAACGCTGGTGTGTTGGAAAATCTGTAAATGCATGCGAATGTCTTTTTAATTCTGTGCTGTTTTTCTATATTAACTACTTGAGTGCTATCTGTGCAGGTGTGAGTTTGACTGTCCACACCATGTATATATTGGAGTGTGCCCCCAAGAGGCTGCGTGGGATGGTTGGTGTGTCTGTGGCCACTTTTGTCTCAATGGGGAAGTTTTTTGGCCAGCTGCTTGGGATCAGGTGTGTCATTAACAGCAGGTTTATCTTCCTTGTTACATTCGCTGTCCATGTGTTAACCAAACATTTGAACTTTTAAAGATTTAAACTTTAAAGCTTGGGTTTTGAGTGTGATTTGGGTGTGTGTGTGTGTGTCAGTGAGGTGTTAGGCACTGAGGAGCACTGGGTCTGGCTGCTGGCCTTCAGCGGGGCGGTTGGTCTCCTGCAGCTACTAACTCTGCCCTTTCTCCCCGAGTCCCCACGGTACCTCCTGCTGGAGAAGGCAGACAAACACGGCTGTGAGACGGGTCAGAACCACAGACACCTCCTTTGACATTTACACATACATTTATATTTCTTACAAAATTCATCTCAAATCATTTGTTCAAAATGTGGGGCCATGTCATGGGAAAACAGTACATTACTGTTAAAAGATTTTTTTTGTTTTCAGATAAAATTTGTATGTTTGTGTTCTAATGTTTTTAGACATGTTTTAACTTTGTTTAGTCAAATATAATTTTATTAAATAATAAATGCTAAAAAAACTATTCATCAAAGAATTCTGACATGAAATGAAATCTATCACGGTTTCCACAAAAATATGAAACAGCACCAGTGGCACTGTTTTCAACATTGATAATAAGAAATGGTTACTATATTAGAATTATTTCTGAAGGATCATGTGACACTGAAGACTGGAGTAATGATGCTGAAAATTCAGCTTTGACATCAAAGGAATAAACTACATTAAAAAAATATATTAAAATAGAAAACAATTATTTTAAATCGTAATAATATCTCACAATATTGCTGTTTTTACTGTATTTTTGATCAAATAAATAATCCTTGGTGAGCATAATAAAAACTCCTAACAATAACTAAATAAAGTACAAAAAAAAAACCCTACCATCTAGTGTACATGAATGCAAACACTTCTAGCTATTCAAGTTAAAATAAAATAATAAAAGGAAAACAACACATTCTCGCCATTGGCTAAAAATGTACAAATGTATTCTGGCGAGTTATTTGATGATGTTCAATATGTCTCAGCTCTGTGCAGGCTGTGGGGAGCTAAAAAGGACCCTGGGCCAGAGATGGAGGAGATGTTGGCTGAACACGCCTCCCTAAAGGGAGTGAAGATCCACGGGCTCATGGACCTCTTCCTCGACCACAATGTCCGCTGGCAGCTCCTCACCGTCCTCGTCACTTTCGTCACGCTGCAGCTCTGCGGCATCAATGCTGTGAGTCACAAAACGTCGCAGTGCCACCCGCACCTGAAAACGATTGATCCGAGAATGCGTATTTCATCAAAACACACAACCATATGCCACAGTCTGTTCAGGAAATGGGCTTGATGGCTTCACATTGCAAGATAATTTACTTAATTCTTCGTTTTGATGAAAGCCACTGCCATTCTTTTCATCATTCAGTTACAAAGATGAATAATGGAACTTAAAGATATTGTTGTTCACATGGCCTGTGAATCATGTCTTCGCAGGTCTATCTCTATTCGTTTGATGTGTTTCAAGCTGCCGGTATTGCCAAGGAGAACCTGCGCTATGCCGCCCTGGGAACGGGCCTGTGTGAAGTCTCCACCTCCATTGCCTGCGTGAGCTGCTCTTTCTCACCCAAATATTTCATCTAAGCTCAAAACATCATGTGGCCTGGTTTAAAGGTACCTACTGTTGGTGTTTGTGTGTTTGTTTACTGTGTGTTATTTTTATCCAGGTGCTGATCATTGAGAGCACAGGGAAGAGAGTGCTTCTCTTTAGGGGTTACCTGTGTATGGCTGCCTCGCTGGCCCTGCTTACACTCACACTTTACCTTCAGGTTTGCTTATTTTTTTATTCAAGTTTTATTAATTACATCATATTTTCAAATCATATACAGTAGGTTTTATGGTTAATTATTGAGTCAGAAGACAAGTTATAGTTTCCATGCATGGCAAATAATTCAGTTATTAACAAGAAGAGTGCTGATTGTGATGTGATTTAAATTGCAGCTATATTTAAAGGGATAGTTCACCAAAAAAATTACATTTAGTCAGCATTTAATCTTATTCCAAACCCATATGATTATCTATCAACACACAGAGATGTTTTGCAGAATATCAAACTTTTGTTTTCATATAATTACAGAGACTACAGCTTCAAAAAAGACAAAAACCATCATGTTTAATAAAAGTAGTACTCTCGCACTATATTCAGGGCCCTATGAAATATGTTATTTTTCTCTCTCAAATTCCATTTTATTTTTACCTAATTCTTTGTTTTCCATTTTAATTTTCAGCATTCCACTTTAATAGTTTAATTAAGTTTTAATAATCAAACGCATCTGTAATTAATTGATTTAATAAAAAACAACAACTTTATTATTATTTTATTTATTTATGTATTTATTTTTATTTTATTTTTTAAATACTGTGTGTATGAAAATTAAACAAACCCATCCATTTTTTGGCAAACAAAGTACTGCACAACAGAAGTTTGTAATTAAAATTAAAACATGGAAGAAAAATTGTGTGATTATTCCTTAAAAAATAATGTTTTAAAAATAATTTTATTAGTAGTAGTACTGTTATTACATTAAGTAATATATTTCTGTCACAGTTTCTTCAAGTTAAACCGAACTTTTATTTTGACGGATTGCTGTGAAGACCTTTAAGTTTCTGTGTGTATATGATATGACGATCGTTTTTTTCTCAAATGAAACAGTAAAATGAAGTGACTCAGAGCAGCTTTAGAGATAATGTTCATGTGTTCATGTACACGCGCGCTTCAGTATGTGTGTAGTAAACGAGACCGCACGTCTGCGCCATTCATTCACACAGAGACACACAGAAATTGTAGGATTCAAAGTAAAATAGTCTTTTTGCGCCTTAATATTCACAGCCACTAGTGCATATCGCATTTTGATATAAGTGGACTGACCTACTTTTGATGTATTCGGCCAAAATTCCGTGACATTCGGTGTTAAAAAGTCAATTCTATTTTTATGACTGGATTCCGTGATTCCGTCTGCGTTTTCCCCATCGCAAAAATCCTTTTTTTTTTGTCTTTTGAAGTCATACTATGGTTTTGTGTGAGGAACAGATTAAATTTAAATTGTTATTCACTGAAAATCTTTGCCACAGGTTTCAAATCTCAGGTTAGAGTAGCCTACATTGTTGGTGTTCTGACAAATAATGCTGACTCACAGCCTGTAGGTATGCTTTCATATTTAAAGGATTTTCCACTGATGATTCAAACGCGAGTTTTGAGCAGTGTAGAGTAGCGCTTGTTGTTTGTCGTTTCTCCGATCACAAATGTAGACATGGTTTTATGTTTACACGGCACGATGCAACGCAACACGTAAAAAGACAGTATAAGTCATTATAATCAGTAATTATGTCCCCACTGGATGCAACAAATGCCTCGTTTATAATGGGTTTTATTGGTTTTGTCTCGTCGCGCCGGGACACGGCATCACAATATGGTAAGGGGCGTAACATTTCCGTCACACTCTTGAGGTATTCGGCCAATCACAATGCACTGGATAGCTGGCCAATCAGAGCACACCTCGCTTTTCAGACCGATGAGCTTTGTAAAAATCGACGCATTTCAGAAAGGCGGGGCATAGAGGAGAAACAATAATGTACAGTATGTGGAAAATAATGTGTTTTTTAACCTTAAACCGCATAAACACATTTCATTACACCAAATACACAAAATAATGTTCTTTTTTAGCAACGTCATATGACCCCTTTAAATAAACTGATATTATTTTTGTGACTAACAAGCCACTGTTTATGCTACATGAAACTATTCCTGAAATTGGATTTGTCTGGCTTTTGTAGGACTTTGTATCCTGGATGCCTTATTGCAGCATGGTCCTTATTTTCACCTACATCTTCTTCTTCTCTAGCGGGCCAGGTACATCCACACATTTTTCTCCTGCAGTGAGAAGTTCAGATGCTTGTTTGTGGCCTTATTTCTTAGCAATACTCTTGTGAATTCTCTCTTCCACAGCCGGGGTGACAGCACCACTTCCTGGTGAGATTTTCACACAGTCCTATAAACCACCAGCATTCATGGTAGCCTGCATCCTCAACTGGGTGGGACTCTTCCTGGTGGGCATGTTGTTTCCTCTCATAGTGGTGAGCCTTTATCATTTTATGGCTTTGTGACCTGTTTTTTGTTGTTGTTGAAAAATGAAAGGTGCAGAAACATTTTACACATAGAGAAATAGTATGTTTGAAAAATGTTTAAAAGATGTGCACACACAAGTTTTAGTTCATATTAGTAGCCTAATAAAAACTGTTTTTAAATGAATTCTAATAGGCTTCATCACGAAGTGAATGCTTTTGAACTCTCAAGACGTGTTTTTGTTTGTTTTTTTTCCAAAGTGAGTGACATACTTGATAATGTCAGCTTGCATATCGTTAAAACAACAATTACGATTTTATCGTAGACGATAAATATCGCACACCCCTACATGGAGCGGGTCTCTTTATGGAGGCTGCCATTTTGAGATCACATGAGCAGATGAATTGTACTGAGTTTATTTGGTTACTCCTCTTGTTAGGCAACACTTTCAGGCAATTAATCATGCCTTAATGTAAAATAGTGCACTTCTACATTGGAATCTGTAGCTGAAAACGTGTGCTTTTGCATACATTAAAGGGTTAGTTCACCCAAAAATGAAAATTCTGTCATTAATTACTCACCCTCATGTCGTTCCAAACCTGTAAGACCTTCGTTCATCTTCGGAACACAAATTAAGATATTTTGACCCTCTATAGACAGCAAGGTAACTACCACAGTCAAGGCCCAGAAAGGCAGTAAGGGCATCATTAAAATAGTCCATGTGACACCAGTGGTTCAAACGTAACTTTTTGTGTGCAAAAGAGTACCACAACGCATGCTCGTAAACAAGGCACAAGGCACAGTTCTATGTCAGCAGCATCACGCGCATACGTCGTGTTACTTTCGATAATGACGGTAGATGGTAAATCGCGGGAGAAGAATTGTTGAATAAAGTAATAAAAAATAAAAAAAATACAAAAAGTATTCTCGTAGCTTTGTAAAATTACGGTTGAACCACTGATGTCACATGGACCATTTTAACGATGTTCTTACTACCTTTCTGGGCCTTGAATGTGGAAGTTACCTTGCTGTCTATGGAGGGTCAGAAAGCTCTCAGATCTCATCAAAAATATCTTAATTTGCGTTCCGAATATGAATGAAGATCTTACAGGTTTGGAATGACATGAGGGTTAGTAATTAATGGCAGAATTTTAATTTTTGAGTGAACTATCCAGTTAACACCACTAGGGACAGTATAAGTCTAAGATGACATAAAATGACAGAATACACCATTGAAACTTATTCACAGTTAGTTATTCCCTTCTAATGTATTTTTCCATTGCAGGAGCATTTGGATTATTTCTGCTTCCTCATATTTTTTGTGTTCTGCTTCTTCTCTGGCGTTTTTGTGTGGTTCCACGTGCCTGAGACAAAGAATAAAACTGTTCTGGAGATCACAGAGGACTTTAAGAGAATGCACCAGAAACGCAGACACTCACTACAGTCCAAACTGAGCTCAATACATATAAACAACATCCAGACCACCATATGTACCAAGCTTTAGCGCCAGTTCAGAATCAGTCATGTAGTCAAATCAGACACTGACCAATAAAAAGTCATTCGTTCTTTAGGCTGACAGCTGTGTGGTCTGTTCGGCTATTCTGTTGGTGACATCAAGTATGTTAAACTGTAAGCCACATCCCATTTGTAAACTCAAAATCCAATTTCAATTAGAGGCAAACTGAATGTTGAATCAATATATTTGTACTTTGTCATGCCAAGGGACACTGATTTAGGTTTGGCCTGATACGACTGCTGTGGTGCAATGACTTTATTGACACTGCTCCTTGGATGGCTCTGTAGAGTGATTAGTAAGGCTTGAGTATCTATTGAATCCTCAGAGGTGTGTTGACCTCTTACCACACCATAAAGTTATCAAATTAAATATTGGACTTCACCAAAATGACTATGTAATGTGGCATCTCTCATAAATCATATTTATGAGGCTCACTTAAACTGCTCAGAAAATTGCCTTAATGTTTATACCATGTGGCTGCTTTATTCTTTTATTCAATTACAGTAAATGTTTTAAAATGTTTTTCATGTGGTCTTATTTGGATTGACTATTACAAAAAAAATAAAATAAATAAAATAATTCAAAAACTAGCAACCATAAAAACTGAAGAAATCTTTTTTTTCTTCTGATGAACACACACAAAAAAAGGATATTTTGAAAAATGTTTATAACCAAACAGTTGTGGTTACTGTTGACTTCCATTGTATGGACAAAAACACTTGAAGAAAAAAAAACTGTAAAATTGTTTTTGTTAATTGAAATATAACATAAAATGCAAATATTAGGTGAAAACCTAAAAACGTAAATGAAAATGAGAAATGTTGCCTTGGCAACTTGCTGAAATAAAATTAGTTCAAGTACTAAAATAACTAAAACTAATATAAAAATTAATTAAAGCTAAATAGAAATGGAAAAAAATTATAATAATTGAGCCCATAAATTAAATCTTAAACTAAAATGAAACCTGAAAATATAAAAATAAAAGCCAATTCAAAATATTTATTAACAATAAAATAATAGTATTTTAAAAAACTAATAAAATTGACAAAAGCTCATACAATTAAAACAAATTCAATTTAAAATGAAAACTGAAAATTACAAATAATAATAATAATAAAATGAAAGCTGATTCAAAATATTTATAAATAGTATAATAATAATATATAATAATAAAATATCACTACTAAAATTTTCATTTTGGAGTGAACTATTTGGTCTTTTCAACATTTAATCAGTAAAACTGAAGAAACCGGAAAAAAAAAGATAATTATAATTGATTATAATCATCATAATCATAATAATAAAATGTACACATTTGCAACATTTAAAACTCACGTGACAACTTTTGTCCCGACTGGTTACTGAGGTATAGCCACTGTGACAACTTGCCCCGGCGTAAGGGACGTACTCTTCTCCTGAATGTGAATGAAGGGAGGAAGGCTGCGCTAAATGAAATATTGATGCGAAAATGCTCATGACTGTGGTGAGCCCGGCGGGATTGATTGTCAAGAGTTTGGGCGCTGAACGTGAGTTTTGCGCGTGCGGCGCTCTGATAACACAATCTACTGCTCGAGCCGCGCGCTGCAGCCAAACTTCACTCGTGTTCGCGTGCATCCCACATACGCCCAAATTACGCACATAGCGCTCCTGTTTACACGCCAAACCCAAGGAAAACGTACACTGGTGAAGTCAGCATCATGGTACAATTTAAAGAGGAGTCTCAAAAGAGGAGTTTCGTGACAGCTCCACACTGCTGGTTATAATAATAGCGAGAGATTTGTGGAGCAGAGCGCACTTTCGCGATGGAGCCGCGCGCCGCCAAAAGAGAAATCACTCAGAGGTAAGAACAGGTACTTTTACACATTCATCCAGGTGCAAACAGCAGCGTTAAACCAACCTCCGAGTCACAGCTCTTAGTATTTGTTTGTTTTAATAAGATGATAATATACTTTAGCTCCACTGACAGACTTTGGGCTTCTTGCTTTAATGGATATAGATTGACTTACAGCATCACACACTTTTTTAGGGTTGGTTGATTGTAATTGTAATTTACAGTTACTCTTATAGTAGGTACATGTAACATATAAGAAGGACACCATAAGATTAGTATTAAGTAAGTAAGTCTTATTTATTTACTTATTAATTAATTAATTCATGTACTCATTCATTGAGTTAGCTGGTCCTGTTTGTTTGATTACTCTTATCTATCTAAAGATTAAAGACTGATTGTTTCTGTTCTCTTTGAATAGGTAGTCATAGATGAGCAGTCACATCTATTTCAGATAATTCACTTTTTGTCATCATCAAGGTTTTGGACATAGATTTAAAGGAATAGTTAATACCTAAAAGTATTGTTATTTTTACTCCGTATGACTTTATTTCTTCTGTGGAACACAAAAGGATGAGTAAACGGAATGTTCATTTTAGGATAATCTATCCCTTTAGGAATTCATGTTTGTCAACAAACGTGGAAAAAAAAAAAAAACTGACAAGAAAGTTGTATATGACATTGCAAACACATGACTAATGACACAACCTCTTTTTCATCTTCAGCTGAACCCGAGTGAGTCACTGAGACTCGACATAAAAAATTAATTGTTTAGAATAAAAACAATAGTCATCAAGCAGCTATTTGCTTTTTCAACAAATTTCAAATTGTATCATTTTCAGATATAAATATTGAGATTTGAGATATAAATTGTTGATTTTATATATATATATATATATATATCTGTGTGTGTGTGTGTGTGTATTCTTAACACGCACACACATTTACATTTAGTAATTTCACAGATGCTTTTATCCAAAGTGATTTACAAATGAGGACAATAGAAGCAATCAAACCAACAAAAGAGCAACAATATGTAAGTGCTGTGACAAGTCCCAGTTAGTCTAACGCAGTACACGTAGGAAGTTTTTTTTTTTTTTTTTTTACAATAAATAAGAAAACAAGTAGATAGAATAGAAAAAGAATACTTGTGAACACTTGTGTTAGATATATACATATGTATGTATGTTTTATGTATATATGTATGTTTTATATGTATTTCAACATGGCAGACACTTAATATGTCAAATGTACTATGCTTTCTTAGAATTTTACATAGATCTTAATATTTGATACACAAACCTCAATGGTGACAATCAACAACAACAAAAATAAAATGTGATAAACCAAAAGTGTCTTAATTTCACAACACAACACATTTGTACAGACAACTGTGTTTAAGCAGTTGGGACAAAATTTGGAGAAATTCTGTTCTATTCACATTTCTTAGTTTTTTTTTTGCTCATATAAACATTTCAAGCTTTCTTTCTCATATTCAATATTAATTGACTGTTGAGCTTGTAACATTTAAAATATCATTTGATTTAATCAAACTGCATTGTCTATTTTTAGATTTCTTAGTCAGTACTTTCCACCCTAAATATAAAAACATGACTGGCTTACATAGAAAAACTGCCAAGAAGAGAGTGTGCCAGTTGGCTGGTTCTTCACTCTACGTCTTTACGTCTTTTAAGCGGCAGTTACCTCACACCAGCTGGACTAATGTCATATGTGAGGGACCTGATAAGAACAGACCTAAACTGTGCTGACATGATACATAGTGACATGTGATAAGCACTGCACGAGTTTGAATGCAAACACTTTGTAAATGACTACTTTTGGCGGTATAATGTGTTCTTGTAGATAAGCTGATATAGCACGGCCTAAACAACACTGAGGTTGTGGGTTTGATTATAATTTGAATGCAGTGTAGGTTACTGTGGATAAAAGCAAATCGATAACTGTGAGAAAGGTAGTGTTGACCTACCCATCAAAGTAATGGAAATAACCTCCTGTCTTTCCCTTCAGGGTGTTTGTGAACCGGAGTTTGACACTTGAAAACATCAAGTGCTATGGCTTCGACATGGATTACACTCTGGCAGGTGAGAGCGTTTATAGCGCCTTTGGGACAAGCTGTCAGACTATGTGTGAAGTGCTTCGTTCACATCGACTCTCTGGTTTTCAACAGTGTATAAGTCTCCAGAGTATGAGAGTCTGGGCTTTGAGCTGCTCAGGGACAGGCTGGTGTCAATGGGATATCCACACGAGCTGCTGGGCTATATGTACGATCCCACCTTCCCCACACGGTAAGTGTTGCTCCCTTAATGGGTCTGGATTAGGCTATATCAGGTCAGTGAGCTCATAGTAAAGGCTTTTGAGGCTTGCTGTGTGTGTCGGCGCAAGCAGAACATTGACTATGTTTACATGCACATCTTATTATCCATATTCTGGTTAAAGGGATCGTTCACCCAAAAATGAAAATTGTGTCATGAATTACTCACCCTCCACTTGTTTCAAACCTGTGTGAGTTTCTTTCTTCTGTTGAGCACAAAAGAAGATCTTCTAAAGAATGTTGGTAATCATACAGTTCAGAATCAGAAAGAGCTTTATTGCCAAGTGTGTTTACACACACAAGGAATTCATCTTCGAGCTTCCAGTACAGAAAGTACAGACATAAATATAATTTAAGATACTAAAACACTAATAATAAAGAGAATAGACAAATAATAATAATAATAATATAGTAATAAAATATAGAGAAAAAGAGAAGAAGAGGAAAGAGAAAGCAGAAGAAAATAGAGATAAAGAAAATATCAGTTGCCGGTAGCCGTTGACTTTCATAGTATGGAAAGAAAATAGTATGGAAGTCAATGGCTACCATCAACTGTTTGGCTACAAACATTCTTCAAAATATCTTCTTTTGTGTTCAACAGAAGAAAGAAACTCACACAGGTTTGAAACAAGTGGAGGGTGAGTAAATCATGACACAATTTTCATTTTTGAGGAACATTGCGTCACAAAAAAACTGTTCCGTTGATTTCAATGGGAATGGTGATTCACAACAGGCAAAATTTAAACAACTTAAACAGTAAAAACAGTATAGTAACAACAGTATAGAATGCAATAAAATTCCAAAATGTAGCTCATGGGAATCTTTTAGTCTTTCAGAAAAAAAAAAGGTACAAAACTGTGGTACCCTTTCAAAAGAACTAGGTATACTTAGTTACTAATATGTACTTTTAAAGGGGACATCGGATGCAAAATTCACTTTTACACGGTGTCTGCATATAATGTGTCTTAGCAGTGTGTTGACACAACCACCCTAAAAAAGTAAACAGTCTCAATTATCAAGCCATTTTGATTTTCTGAGCAGTATGATGTCATAATGCTCAGGCCCCGCCCATGACCGCTGACGGACTGTCCCGTATTAGCATATCTCCGCCCTCAGCCAGTTGTATGCTGTCCACCATTTTCTCCACGCTCGAGCAGCAGTAGCGACAACAATGTCTCGTAAGCAATGCAGGTGTTTTGCAGATGGATGTAAAAGTGAACATGAGAGTCTTCATTTTCTCCCAACATCAGAGCCACTGAATACACAAAAAAGCAGAAGAGAGGGGTGGGGTGAGCAGAGCTCATTAGCATTTAAAGACACATGGTCGCTGTGAACAGAGCTGTTTTTGACAAGGTAAAAAGGGTGTTGTTTTATACAACCAAATATGTTGCAGACATTTCATGAAGACTCTAAAGAATCATACCAACTTGTGGAAAATGGGCATCTGATGATGTCCCCTTTAAAGTACTTATATGTACCTTTAAGGTATATGTACTATTTAGGGGTAAATATGGTACAAAGATTTTTACCTTTTAGCTTTTGTTCCTCAATTCCAGTCCTGGGGACCCCCTGCTCTGCACATTTTGAATGTCTCTCTTATCTGAAACACTCAGTTCAGTTCATGTATCTCTCTCCTAACGAGCTGATAATCTGATTAAGGTGTGTTAAATAAGGGAGACATGCAAAATGTGCAGAGGGTCCCCAGGACTGGAATTGATGAACCAGGCTTAGGGTACCGCTCCAGTGACAGGACTGCATGTTCATTTACTTTTAAGTCAATGCAAAATGCCATTCATAACTCAAAATCCAGTCACTTCCATCTGAAATTGATTGAATTTTTGAAAAAGAAGCACGTGTAGCAGGTACTCTGAAGGGAGGGATTGAAAAGTAAGAGGGATTTGTGAATGAATGTTGTATTAGAAATGGAGAAAGTTATTACATTTTGATAAAACTATGACCGCAAGGATTTTTAATATAGAATAATGTGCAGTTAGGAACTGTGCATGATAAGACCAGATATGTGTATTAAGAAGTCAAAGGATTAGTTTTGATTTATGTTGACTTTATTATTTGGACAAAAGTTTCTATCTTTTGTCTTGTCCTTGAACTGCATAGGTCTCATATCAATCAAAATTATTAATTACACAATTAAGTTAACACATTTACATGATACAATACTGTTCAAAAGGTTGGGGTCTGTAAGATTTTTTTTTTAAATGTATTTAAAAGAAGTCTACTATGCTCACCAAGGCAGCATTGATTTAATCAAAAATACAGTAAATGAAAATGAAATAATGAATTATGAAAAATATATTGTGAAATATTATTAATATAATTTAAAATAACAGTTATTTATTTGAATATGTTTTAAAATGCGAAATATTTTTGTGGAAAATGTGATACGGTTTTATTATCCTACTTTTTCAGGATTCTCTGATGAATAGAAAGGTCAAAACAACAATTATTTTAAATAGAAATCTGTTGTAACAATGTAAAAGTCTTTACTGTCACGTTTGATCAATTATAGCATCCTTGCTGAATAAAAGCAAAAAGCAAAAAAAAAAAAACACTTTTGAACAGTAGTACACATCATCACATAATTCCAATATGAACTTATTTATTTAGTATAAGACAGTATGAGTATAAATGGACCTTAAGCCCACTTCATTTTCATCTGGAAACCAGTCAGTTTGTAGTCACTTTTGAGCCTATTATAAACAATTCATGAGAGACTTTGTGGGCAACCATACAAATAGAAACGGCCTGCGTTACACCAGTCTCAAGGGTCTCATAAAGCAGAAGGTCGCTTGAGGTCATTATTAAAGCAGACTGAATAGCAAACGCAGACAGTTAAACTCTCTGCTCAATTATACTGCTGGGGGAACTCTTGTACTCTTGTGTTAACTCCTAAGAGGGCCATATTTTGCTATAAATTATTCACTTGTCTGAATGCTTACAGACTCTGGTTCTTTCAAGCGTTCTCTCTCTTTCTCCTCTTCTCTCCAGAGGTCTGGTGTATGATACCACGTATGGGAACCTGTTGAAAATAGACTCCAATGGAAACATCCTGGTATGCACTCACGGCTTTGAGTACCTGAGAGGGTGAGTGAGATGGTTCATTGTGGCGCGGGGTCAGTGGTGTATTGAGTGAGAGTTTTCTCACAAATGCCCCCTCGACCTTTCACTGACACCAGAAGATTTCAACAAAGTAGAGTGCTGCGTGGGACAAAACATTAAAGAGAGCCAGGCTGAAAGCCAATAAACCCAATGTGAGGGAACGGCGAGGTCAAGCGCTGTATAGAAACACTAGCACAGCAGAGCGTGGCATTCAGTCTTTAATATCGCAATTTAATGCACTGAAGTTCTCATTATTGCAATTATTATAGCAATAGTTAGCCTAAACGTCATATCTGAATCACAGCACAACTGTTTTCAACATTGATAATAATAAGAAATGCAAATCAGCATATTAGAATGATTTCTGAAGGATCATGTGACACTTATTTATATGGCCAAAATGTATGATTAAATTCTAATAGCTTGTAATGTAAATCACATCTTTATGACAGTATAGCAGACTGCTTACATAAAGTACTTATAAATATCAGTTTTCATTCTGTTTATCCCAATAATATGTATTAGTAAGATGATATTTAATTGCTTAGTGCTTTTAGCTTTTATGATCAAAGCTCTGTAGGTTTTATTGTAGGACAAAACGATAATTGAGAGATGAATAAATAAACGTTCCTCAAAAGCCTGATGATCATATTTGATACATTTGAACATGATTTTTCTGATTTGCATCACAAGAATAAATTATATTTTAAAATATATTCAAATAGAAACTAGATATTTTAAACTATAATAATATTTCACAATATTAATGTTTTTACTGTATTTTTGAAATGCAGCTTTGGTGAGCAAAGACACTTTCAAAAACATAAAAAAGGTACACACTCAAACTATTAAACGGTAGTGTATATATAATCAAATATTTATATCTTATACATCATAAAACATTTAATTTGACCTCCTGAGGTGGATGAACAACAGGGTTAAGAAGAAAAGGTTTTAACCCCTATTTTATAGTCTTTTTGTAGAAAAAAGTTCTTTTTTTTTTGAGACCCAACCACTCTATTTAGCTCTAACACGGATGATGGACTCATATTAGTAGTGTATTTATATCCAACACCTCATACCTGCCATAGAATAGCATTGTGGAGTGTTGCTGTTGATTTCTTAGTATGGCTTTCTGAGACTGATGAAAGAGGTTGAGGACAGGCGTAACTGGACCATTGACCAAGTCCTGGCTCTCCTTTTAAAACACACACCACCAGATTCACACGTTCATATTCACACAGATTTAAGAACAGTAGTGGCATTTTTATTATTATTCTCAAACTTGGGGACAAACAGAGCATGGATCAGCATCGTGAGTGTCCTCGTGTATAAGACAGCATAATAAATGGTGTTTCATCAGACGCCACCCGTCGTGGGGTATTGTGGGCACAGTTTTATTTAGCAAGGGATCAGTTTTTTGAGAACGGTAGTTGTTAGAGCTCTCTCAACACTGGCTGCTGTGACATATTATCTGGGCAGCTCAGTGGCAGACTGTTATTGCTCTGTCACCAGCTTTCCAATGCGTTTCAAATGCTTTTATATATATGGTGTGTCAGGAAGCTTATTTACCTGCTGTTATTCTCATTAAAATGTGTGTCCGTTTGCAGCGAACAGGTCGATGAGTATTATCCAAACAAGTTCATCCAGAGGGACGACACGAACCGCTTTTACGTCCTCAACACGCTTTTCAACCTTCCAGGTACAATGACAGTGACACATTTACATGGGCGAGTGAAAGGATAATTGATTCTGTTAACATGATTTGTCCCTCTCCTTTTCTCAGAGACGTATCTGTATGCGTGCCTGGTTGACTTTTTCACCAAAAGCAGCAGATACAAAAAGTGAGTGAATTATTCTTTAATTGCAAGAGTTTACAGCAATTAAACTCTTTTACTGTCTATCAGACAGCGAGTGATATTCATAATTAGCAATGTTTGCTAAAGTAAGCATCACTATTAATCTTGCTTATGCTTACAGCTAGGGATATCAATAAACCTTTATGATTTCAGACCGTTCACACGGCACATGTTAAAACCCAGAGCACATCAACAACCAGATAACAAAGCCCTAGCAAGCCAAAAATTATTAAAATAAATATGACAAATGATTAAATATAAAATAATATCTTATTAACCCTGTAAAGCCTGACATATGAAAAAATAGTCATTATATATCCCAATAATATGTATTAGTAAGATGATATTTAATTGCTTAGTGCTTTTAGCTTTTATGATCAAAGCTCTGTAGGTTTTATTGTAGGACAAAACGATAATTGAGAGATGAATAAATAAACGTTCCTCAAAAGCCTGATGATCATATTTGATACATTTGAACATGATTTTTCTGAAAAGTTATGTATGGATAATCAAGGAAACGTAAGTTGCTTCAGTCCAGTAAATGTTGATCTTGAAATATTACTAGCAATATAAGAATTATTCTTACACTTACTTTATAAAAATCATTTAAAATTTCACAGCAGAAAGATGTGAACCACTACCTGAAGGTGGGAGTATTTTAAACTAAAAGGCCTTTTACTTGAATACAGAAGATTATAGAAGGCATGTACTGTAGTAGACTGTGTACAACAGTTTTTCAGCAAAATGTTGATCATGTTGATAATTTAGAGGCCTTAACTGCTATCCTTGTTGGGTTTATTTTTTGTAAACTTAAAATACGCCCAATAGGTGTCCAAAATCTCACTCACTCTTTCTCTCCCATTCAGTTGCATGAAAGGGTTCAAACACTGTGACTTGTTCATGTCACACAGAAGCACGTTTCAGGACATTAGGGATGCCATGGATTACCTTCACGACACGGTAACCTATGCTACTTGTTCACCCTCTCGTGAAAGAATTTACTTCCAAATTGACTTCAAATTAAAATATGACTTGAAGGGTAGGTGATTTCGGAGAGGCTGTAGCAATAGCAAGCTAGCTTTGAAAGCATAAGATCCCACCCTCCTTGCAAATCACTCTCCAAAGCCACGCCTCCTCACGCACAGGCAGATGAGAGACGGCGTTGGTGGAGGGTTGAATGCAAACGCTGTCAGATTAGCTCATGTCTCATTCACCGCGCATAATATTACAATAGTAACGCCTTCCATTCTTGCTTGGCCTGCAATAGTGTAATGGACAGCGCTGATGACCCATCATGTCTGAATGAACAGGGTGTGCGGAGGTATGCAAATACATACAATGACAGGCAGGTAGGAGTCGGACAGCCTATGGTAATCTTCAATATGATTGGATGAACATTTTATGGTCCTACACCTTCCACAGACGATATAAATACATATAAATACTTTTAGACCACTTAAAGGGTTAGTTCACCCAAAAATGAAAATTAGCATATGAATTACTCACCCTCAAGACATCCTAGGTGTATTTGACTTTCTTCTTTCAGACGAATCCAGTCGGAGTTATATTAAAAATTGACTTTG